CTTGTGTTACAGCAGTGCTCACTCTGACACCATCATCTTTGCTAAGAAGTGCTTTTCAATTTTCAGATTTTTGGTGTTTGGTAGGAAGCATTGCACTTTTTATCAACAGCCCATGATTAAGAAATAACACTTTATGAAAGGAAAAAAATATCTCACTAGAGGAGCTTAACATCTGTTTGTGCAGTGGCCTCACTATGCAATTCTGAATCTCCTTTGGTAAATTTCCTATTAAAATTCTGACTGGTCTTCTATTTGTTAGAAATAACTTTTAGCAGAGGAAATTGGGCAGAAAACCTTGCCAGCATATTTAACTTCTTGTCCTTTAAGAAATTATACTTTGATTTTAGAGGTTCGACGTTGCTAGATAATGAAATTATCATGGTGGAACAAGCCATAGAAATAATAAATACAGTAATTCTTCTTTGCCTATTGTGTGCCTTTGCTATTCATAAATTTTAGGGCCTTAGATATTAGATACACTTACGTAAGGCCTCACGAACGGTAATTATCTTTTGGCCAAAGAAAAAGCCCAAACGAATGCTAAGCTGCATTATCGCTTGGCTTCTGACATGAGCTGATAATCAGATTTTCTTGCTTAAATCCATGGTGCTCGAACAATGCTCCCCACTGTCTGTGCTTCCCGATATTACCCTTAATTAGAAAGAACAGAAACACAAATCTGAATTATTTCAAAATCTGGTTTCCATGGTCAGTGGTTTGAAGGGCTTAACTTTATTATAAATAAACCTGGCTTTATTGGCTAATGAAATCTGAAATACGAAGCCTGGGATAGAGGAAGTATAATACGCTGATGTTTACACATCAAAATATCCAGTGTGGGCAAAGTGTTTTGTAATAAATCATTGGATAATTGAATCATGATTCCTTTGTCCAAGCACAACCCAAACCTCATCACGAAGGAGAACCTGGAAGGAACTTCAGTTTATGTTTTCTGGAGAAGGTTCATCTTTAAAGTTAATGATATATGCACCCAGAGCTGTCAAGGAGGCATTGACCTTTTATTTATTTTATCCTACTTCAGTAGTTCTTTTCCTTTGATACGTTGGGGCACATAGTTATATGTGTGATGGTCTGGCCCTGCACACACATACATCCCTCAGTGTATTACTCTCAGATATTCACATTGGGTTCTTTTTGCCACATAGAATGATGTGCGGGTTGGTGTCTGAGCGAGACATGAAAAAATAGGAGATCAGTTGTATTTTTATTTATGACCTTATAAAAAGAGGGCTAACAATAGGTGAGGACACCTGACCTCATTTGAAGGGCTAATTAATAACTAAGTGCAGATGGTAACTTGGTTCTTCTGAAAAACATCAGAGAGCTCATGCCTAGAGCCACTATCACCTATACAGCGGTTCTCAACCTGTGGGTCATGACCCCTTTGGGGGTCGAACGACCCTTTCACAGGGGCCGCCGGGTACTTGTATGTGGGCGTATCTGCATGTGGGCCTGGAGACGGATAGAGGAGGGATGTCTCGGTTCCTAAGACCATCGAAAATATGTGTTTTCCGATGGTCTTAAGCGACCCCTGTGAAAGGTTGAGAACCGCTGACCTATAAGGACGTCAGATGCTGTTGACAATTGTGATCTTATATGTATACATATGGCTTAAACAGGGGGCTGGTGAGGGTCTAGATACAGAGTTCTATTTGCCTTTGGCTCACCCTGTTGAGTCAGGACAAGGATGTATTCTCTGGCAAAATGAAGTCAGAGAGGCTCTCAATCCAGAGACCCTGGGCTCAGAATTGAGGTGGGGCTTCCAAACGGGGGCTTCTTGAAATTTTAGATATTGGTGTGTGGGACTTTTAGGTCCTTTCTCCTGTTCTGTTCCCAGAATGCCGTCAGCCAGCAAATACTTCCTGGGTTGGTATTTGGACGATTCTTCCCTGGAGAAACCCAAGAAAAGCCCTTCACATTCTGACACTGAGGGATCCGTCCTGGGAAAGGCCGACTCACTGCCTCCTGCTACAGGGAAGTCCAATGGTCAACCAGCCCTGCTCGAGTGAACACAGAGTTTGCAGCCAGCCTTTTAGTGCCTTCCTATTCAATATGAACAATTAGTCAGATTGCAAATAAGTTGTGATGAGAATCTTTGAGAAGAAACTTTCTGCTGATGCAAGTGTTACTAAAGCTGTTAAGAATATTATGTGGACTGTGACAACATTGGGACTACATTGATGATAAATTGTTTTGAAATATAAATTTTAATACTTTTAGACCTGGTGATTCTCACAGAACAATTTTTGTAAAAAGATTGAACTCTTCCTGCAAACCTGTTTTGTGTAAATCTGAATTAAATTTTACATGTAAATTTATACAGTGACATTTTCATGTTTCTCCTGACATTTTCTGCAATTTGTGGAGGTCTTCTAAGAACCAAAGGTGGCACAGTGATTTTCATATAATTCAAAACACTTGTCATGCAATTCCATGAAGCTCCGCCTACTCCAGCGCAAATAGAGAAGCTGTTTTCAACTCCCTACTCTGTAGCTCGCTACATACATTGACAAAACCAAAATGCCTCTTTCTTTCAGTTGTGTTTGTAGCAAGTGTCATCTCTTCCATATTTGGGATAAGTAAATTACCAAGGTTTTTGGCTCAGGTGGTCGGAGAAGGATGGCAGCTAAGGCAGAGCGGGCATCATCCTTGTCAGTACCATCCTTATCAGAACCGATCGGTTTTACCCAGAATGAAATAACCCGTTCCATGACCACATACTGCATTTTGAACCCTCAGATCACAAATACAGGTCTCTGGGCATGAAGTAAAGCAGGCAAGAGAGTACAGCTCACCCTACTCAAGCTGTCTTACCAGAAAAGTAATCCAATGCCAACAGGTGCTTGCCTCATGCTGGTAAAATGGCTGTGGCAGCCCTAGGCTCTGCCATCTCTCACAGTCAAACCTTGACCCTGGAAGTCTTGACAAAATCTCTTTCTATCCTATTGGCTCTGAACTTCAATCACCATAGCCAACAGAATATAATGTGCTCTGATCTGGGCATTTGCTTTACCCTTGAAGTTTGGGGGTGGGGCTTACTTAAACCATATGGATCAAGGTTTGGAGTCATGTGGACCCCAAACACTTATTCCTGAAATTAGAATAAAAGTATATAGGGAATGAAAAGTAACAGATACCTCCCCAGCGGTGGTAATAGAGGCTGTAACTCTCTCTTTGAAAGAGAAGTCTGCGTCAGGTAAGATAAGGGGCTGAATCTTTATACACTGATTATTTGTCCCTACACCCAGTTTGTCATCTACACTGACCAGGTCACAGTAACTGGCTGTGGTTTGTTTTATTCTAATGGTGTACTGTCACATGGCTCAGCGGGAAGAGATTAAGAGTAGTGATCAAGATCACACAGGGCACAAACCTACACCATCAAGTGGTAGGTGATGCTTCATGTAGAAGAAATAATAGTTTTACTCAATGTTTATAGTTAGACCTTGGGGGTAATAGTCTACGTGGCCTTTCTCAATCACAATTGGAATTTCCACTTGCTGAAATTCCATTCTTCTTTCTTTTTTTTTTTTTTAAATTGGGAATTGGGGAAGGGGAACAGACAAGTTGCTGTTGTTTTGTTCTTCAGTCTAGTTGTGGAGGATGTTGCTTCACTGGCTCATGTTGGTATTATCATTGCGCTCTTCCTGGGTGAGGCAGATTGGTCACCGGCCACTGGACGGCTGCTCACTGTGGCTCTTGGCAGCTCATGACAGCTGCTGGCCACTCACACTGGCTGCTGGCTATTCACAGTAGCTTACAGCAGCCCACTGCAGCTCCACTGTAGCCTACGCCGTTGCTGGCGACTCCCAGCAGTCCAGCTCCAGGTCTAGCTGTTGTTCACCATCTTAGCTGTAGAGGACGCAGCGTCACTGGCCCTCATATGTGGGATCGGAACCCGGGTCCTGATGCGCAGAGCTGGTGTCCCAAGCCAACTCCTAACCAACGCGCCACTAGGCCAGCCCCATTCTTATTTCTTATTGCAGGTCTTCATGTTCAGTTAAAGAATGGTTCTGGATTTCAGTGAAACCCAGTTTAAAAACTTACTGACAAATAATAAGGCTGTTGAGGAAATCTGAACCTTTCTTTGTGGCCTGCAGCAGTGGTCCATTTTCATTGTCATATGGGGACAGTAATCAAGTAAAGGACCTCCAATTTCTGCTCCTCTTTCCATGTCCTCCAATTAAAGTTGCTGTTAGGTGTCCAGAAGCCGATGCTTCCCCTACAGATTGCCAAGAGAGAAAGAAAATACACCTTCACTGGCTACTGTACTTACAATGGTTCCAAAACCAAGCAAGAAAACCACAGTGATCTTGGCAAGCAAACAATTGAAAAGTACAGGTGCTGGCAGTATGCACAGCCCCAAAATCAACATGACTTGGGAGGCGAGGGGGTTTGGAGAACAAAGAAAGGTGCTTTTCATTCAGAGAAATTTATTTCTCTTAAATATTTGCAATGTGCAGCCGATAGCACAGGAGGCCACTTGGCATTATTTCTCCACAAACGGGAGGGCTGGGTGATCATGAGCAGATGCTTGAGTGGCCTGTGGCGTGAGGTGCACCATCCGTCAAGAGGATCAATATTTGCTGTTCTTGTATCTTTGTGGTGAAAGTTTGCTCTCCTTAAAAAAAAAAAGCGGCGGGGGTTGTGCTTTAATATATAGAGCATGGGTTTGGCTTCAGGCAATAAATCAACTGAGAACAGCGAGGACTTCACAGACAGGACTAAGTACCCCCCTCCCCTCGCCCCCCATCTCCCTCCCAATGATGACATGTGCAGAGTTTTAAGTCGTAAATGCATCTGGGCTGATGACATTGACAGGTTTTTTTTTTTCTCCATTCATTCTTTTTCATTCCAGTTCAGTCATCCCTTGATGAAGGATACAATATGAATGTAATACTGTACTTTTTTTTTCAAAATGTGTTTTAAAATATAAATTAATCCAGTTCGGTTGACTCAGCATGTGTCAATCAGGCAGCATGTCTTATGTAGAAGAGGCTGAGCCAGTCATTGAGGTGACCAGAATGGAGAAGGCGGGGTCACTGCTTTAGCTTCTTGGTGCCTCAGTTTCCCTAGTTTGTCATTGTTAGGTCACAGAGAGATTCCTGTAAAATAGAGGGGAAGAGATAAGTAGATGATGTGTCATGAGCAGCCTCCTATACCACGGAAAAGATTCAGTATTTTATTCTTTAGATGAAAAGTGTGTTCTGCGTCCTTAATGTGCATACAAATCATCTGGGAACCTTGTTAAAATTCAGACTCTGATTCGGCAGATTTAAGGTGGGGCCAAGAATCTCCACATCTAACAAGCTCCCAGGTGATGTTAAGGACGCTGATCCACGGCCACACTTGTCACTTCTATCAGTCACCTGTGATACTTGTAAACCATGCACATTCCTGGGCCCCACCCTCAACTGTGTGAATCAAAATCTGCATTTTCCCATGGTCTCCAGGTGACTTTTATGCACAATAAAGTTTGAGAACCACTGTTTAAATGATAGGAAGCCAATGAACACTATTAAGAAGGTGTGTGCCATATTTATGATCATATTTATTATACTGGATTTTCGAGAGAGAATGTGAAAAGAGAATTCCACTAAGGTGAACCGCGAGTGGGGAATGGGTGGAGAAGCTAAGACAAGAGGACTTAAGAGGAGGGAAGGTGTCTGGAGGACCCTGAGAGGGTGGAGTTGACAGCATTTGGTTATGAGTGGATCTGGGGGTGAAGGGGGTGGGGGAGGCTGGTGTGACCTTCTAGGTTCTTCCTGTCACTACTGTTTCTCTCTCTTTATGATTGTAGAAAGCCACTTCCTTTCATTTTTCTTACCTCACCTAAGTTGATTTCCAAAAAGACTTCACTTAAGACCAAGCAAATATGTATAGAAATAAGGAAAACGCTGGCAGCAGAAAAGACTTATAAAGTTATACAACTGGCCCTTCCTCAATTAATCTCCCCCACACTGTCACTGACACAGCTGGCCTGGGTCACTCTGGTTCCAACTCTCTTTCTGCCTTTTACGAGGTATGTGTCCTCTTAGGCCTCATCCCTGCAATTCTCTTCTTCTTCCTTGGTCAGTAGCCATAGCAAAGGGAGACTTTCTACCCTGGTCCCCTCCTAGGTCCCACCACTCAGTTTAAAATTTGTGGCTTGGGATATAAGCCTTTCCTCAGGGAACAGGTGGGGCTGGTGAATGATGTAACTGCGGGGAATGACAAGATGAAAACCTCACCCCCTTAGGTAAGATCTTATCCCTCATGCAGGGTTGGTTTGATCTCTTATAACCTAGCAGGTTAACACCACCTTAAACATATACTATCCAAGCAATACTATACATAAAATGATATTCGATATGTTCAAATAATAAAGTCCAATCATATCCAAACAATAAAAGTTACAGAGAAACACTAATGGACAGTTGGTACTGACTATATATTTGCTGAATTGTTTTAAATTAAAATCTAATCGGATTGTCGTTATTTATGTCTTATTTTAAATTAATTATCCAATATCTTTGGATCTCTTTCTCTTCTTTATATATTTTTGAGTTTGGTTATTTCAAGGTGGCAAAGCCTAACTTGATACTGCCACCCCACCCCCAATCTTCTGGCTCTCTTCCCTGTGCCCTGTTTCTCTGCCCTCTGACATATTGGCTGTGCTTGGATTGATCCTCACCCAAGAAATCACATGACTATGCCCTCTGTGCTTTCTAATCTTTGCTTTAATGTCACCCTGTCCATGAAGCTATCTCTTATTTCTGTATATAAATTAGTATACTACCCTCAACATTTTTTTCATTCCCTTTTCTTGTTTTTCTTCTTAGCAATAGAAAAATCACCATCTGGTATATTATAGAAGTATTTATTTATTTTTCTGTCACCTCCCCTAGAATGTCAATCTCATGAGAACAGAGACTTTATCTACTATATCCCATTTTTGGAACAATGTCTGGCACATAGTGTAATGCAACACAAATTTGGTGAATGAACAGATAAATAATTAGCCACTTTCATGAAATACATGGGAAGGATGTGAACGTCTAGGTAACAAGTCAATTGCAGTCATTTTAGGATTGTTTCACTTAAAGAATAAAGAAGCAAACATGTTTCTAAAAATATCACTCGTTTAGGGAAGTAAGAATGGCAGGTGGTATGGGTTAGTCCTGGAGCCACAGACCTGCTTTTTGTGTATTTTTGCCTCTATCTTACAGCCCAGCCCTCCCCATGAGAGAACTGCCTTGCCCTGCTCCAGATTCACTGCTCACATGAAGAATTTCTCTGAATCTCTTAAAGTTAGCAGCCTACATTTTCTGCATTTTCCAGGTAAATTAAGAAATAATCCCAAGAAAGACCAGGGTTTCTAAAGAAACTCTGGAATATGTGCAGGTAAAACGCATAAAGGCTCTATTGAAGAACACTTGAATTGTGTTTCAAAATAGCAATGAAAGAAAGAATTCACTGGCTCATGAAGTTGGTAAATCCAGCTCAAAACATGGCTGGATCCAGGATTCATCAACATTATCATGATTTTCTTTCATTTTTCTTTTTAAAAATCTCCATGTTGACTTCATTCTCATTTGGGGTTTATTTTCAGAATGAACAGCAATTATGGGTCCTGGTAGGTACAGATTTGCATGAGTCTTAGAGCTTGTAACTTCAAAAATAAAGACACTCTCCTTTGCTCTACATTTATAATAGTTCCCACCTCCTATCCAATGACTCTGATTGGTCATCTTGGATCTCATTTTATTCCTGGAACACTTAGGGTGTCTAAGGGAACAGAGCACAACTTTTGTTACCCTTGCATTGAACCCTAACACTGAATAAAAATGTGTGTGTGTGTGTGTGTGTGTGTGTGGTGAGGGTGGCAGGGGGAGAATGGGAGGGATGGGTTTCCAGAATAAATTCATATGGGGCAAGCAAAAAACATCATTTTGCGTCAATACAAAATGGTGTGTGGTGGCATTGTTATATTCTATATAGTACTGGCGTCATAGATTATTCTGACAACCTGGAACGATTTCCCTGACCTGGGAGCGTAGGTGAACTTACACATGTAACTTCCTACCTATGAGAAAATGAAGTTTCTTAGGGCAACTGATAAAGCCATTGACTGCTACATTTTTGTTTGGATGATATATTATTTTATAATGTATTTATTTACTTTCATTTGCGTGTTAATAAAGTTTGTTATATGTGTATAGATATCAGAGCCATTGAAAGGGTTTGCTGATTTTATGGTAGTTTAAAAGATGTCACATAATGAAATTTTAATGGGGCCTTTTGAGAATCCCCTGTGGAACCACTCACATACTCTTCTTTCTTTACAAAAATTTGGAAACTGAGAGGTGGTAATACTATCACACGGGTCAAAAACCAGAAACAGAAAGAGGCATATAGTGGAAAGTCTTGTTCTCACTCCTGCTCCAACCTGCCTTATCCCCTGAACCCCAAGAAACCACTTTTTCTGGTTTCTTGGGAATCCTTCCACATTTTCTCTAAGCAAGTAAAAGTGTGTATATGAGCAAATATAACTGAGCAGCAAGCAGCATTCTTTACTTTGCTGTCTTCACTTGACATTGTAACTTGGATCTCTGTCCACAGCAGTACATTAAAAGCTTCCGCGTTCATTTTTCTTACAACTTGAGAGTCATATATTTTATGATTATACCTTAATTTATTTAGCCAGTTTGCTTTGATGGACACCAGTGATTTCCCAAAAAGGACTAATGAAATAATCAGGATGTCATATTTTAGAGCTTTTATGGCATGTATTCAAAATTATTAAAAATTTTGACCTAGTCCACTTTGGTTGGTTTTAAAGAGTAATTGAAGCGTAGTTCCAGTCAACTGATGTAATTTGATAAAAGTAAATGCCAACCTCTTAATTATTTAAATACAGCGCAGGAACAGAGAAAATAATTGCCACTGTCAATATCTGAAAAATGTATGGCGTCGAGATTCAGTACACCTGGATCTTGAGAGTTGAGAGTATGGGTATAACTTTGAGAAGTGTCACAGTTTATAATTATGTGGCTTGCTCTGATGGCTCTAAATTCCTTGCTATGTTGATATTTGTCTTAAATAAGTGGACACGAAGCCTCTAGCTGAGTAAAAGTTAGCAAAGGAGACCATTCTAATGGACATGAATAGACACAGACATTCAAATGGACATGTATATATTTGTGACTTAGAATAAAGGTATGAGCTGGGAAAAAAGTTATGGAGTCATAATGCGATCATAAGGAAGTCTTGGGAGTAGATGAGATGATCAAGAGAGGGGAGGAGGTATGAGTGCTGAGACTAGAACTCAAAGGAATAATATTTAAGGGACATGAAAAGGGGAGAAGTTGAAGAGGCATGAAAGAAGCAACAGCTAAGAAAAAGCACTGGAGTTAGAAGTGCCCAGTCTGCTGTTAGAGCTTTGAGTTTGAGTTCCAAGGTAACCACTGATGAGCGGTATGACCTTGGGCAAGTCACTTAACCTCTCTTCACTTTAGCTTCCCTAAGTTAAAATAGGAATACTAAATATATCTAACTCCTAGGGTTTATTGTGAGGGCTAAATGTCACAATATAGTCCAAGTTCTCGGGAAGGTGCTCTGTCCATAGTAAATGGCCAGTAATCATTATTATTATTATTGTTAGAACATTCAAAGGAGGTCATGGATTTCAAAAGGAGGGAAAGGCTAATTGGCATCAAATACTAGGGAAAGACAAATAAGAAATGTACTAAGAATGCTCATTTGGTTTAACAACTAGGATGTCTTGGTAACATTGGCAACAACAACTTTCTCTAGAATCATAGAGCTCAAACTAGGCTGCTGAGACTTGAGGTTTGAAGAGGAAGTGAGACCCTAACTCAATCATCAGCTGTGTTACCTGGTGCAAGCTGCTTAACCTCTCTGATCAGTCTCCTCTGCCATAAAGCAAGAGAAGGAGGCGATTGGGTCATCTAGTCTCCATTTAAAAATATTGTTTCACTCAACTAATGAGAACCCAGATCAGAGAACCCAGTCAGTCAGCAGATTGTTATACACATAATTTTTTTTTTCAGATGGGAATGTTGATGACTAGCCAAAGCTTATTTTCCTTGGTGCTGCTCCTTTCAGAGTCAGGCCTACACACCAATGCAGATATAAAGTCAAGACTGCATACATGTGTATGTGCACACACACAAACACAAATCACGCTCTCCAGAGACCCGTATGACAAGATTGCACATAAACAGATTATGCCACAGACCACTTATTCAAAAACCACTTACTGACAACCTACCACATTCTGAGTGCTGTCCTAGCTGCTGGGGGGCACACAGATAAATCTGTCAGGGTAATTGTCCTTAAAGCTCTTGTAATTTAATAGGGAGATTAGGAATTTACCTAAAGGGCAAGGTAGCTGGCTGGGGTTGAGTTCTATGATACAGTTCAACAAATATTTATTCAATGCTGACTCTGTACCAAGCACTGTGTTGGGTACTGGAGAGAGCCATAAAAGAAAGAAAAGGAGCATAAAATTATTTCTGACAGGGAGGCCTCATACACTTTCAGTTTTTAAAATTGTTTCTGTCGTTTTTTTTTTTTATGAGCTACATTGATTGACAAGAACCTGGTAGTCTCAGCGTGTCACCTGGGAGGTGTCCTGCTGCTTAGCCTCAGCCTTTGCAGGAGGGTGAGGAACCATAGCTTGGAGATCTATGGGGAGATAGAGAGCTGGGCTCTTGTTCTCCTGCCTTAGCCCAATTTCACTTGCGAGGCATAATTCTTTCTTTCTAGGACTGAGAGTCAAGTGCTTCCCTTGTCCCTGAGTGTGCTTGGGAAGGTGCCTGTGATTTCTCACCCGCACCGCCATTCTGTTGGCACTGAAAGCATGCTCGGCATAATCTACTGTCTGGAAAAGCCTCCCCAAGTTTGGGGACCCCTGTATTACAGATCATGGAGGCTTCCTGGAGGAGTCTCATTTTCACTCTTCTCAAGTATAACAAGAACAGATGAAATTGCTTCAAAATGTCCTAGTTTGTTCAGACATCCCTCATGCCAGTTTTCAGAATCACATGTTAGTTGACCGTGGCAGGTGCAGCCTATTGGGCCTAGCCCAGGTAACTCCTTTTTTATTTCCCTGAGGCTTTCTTGCTCCTTCTTTGCCCTATCCAAAGACTCCTATTACTCTCCCACTAAAACTTGTGAGAAAACTCTCGAATTCTGACAGGACTCTTTCAGGTTACTTAGCCTCTTCAAGAAATGGTGGTTCCCACTGGAACCTTGAATGCTTCTGTATCATTCTCACCACTTTCTCGCAAAGAGCTTGGGGTGGGATTTGTCATCCACCCACCCCTCGGTGAAAACCACTTTTCATGGGTTGACATAAATCTGCATCTGTGGGGGGCAATTTCCAGTTGTTTGGCTTTTGGGGAGAAGCCATGCAAATACAAACTGAGGGCTTAGTTCTTGGGAAATTCAGGAAGTGTCTCGCAGAGGGGAGGGGGAAAAGGACATTTGTCAAAGTGCCTATGCTCCTAGTCCTCATATAAATGCTCTTTCTCTTTTGTTCCTACTGGACTGCAAAGAATACAGCCCTAGCCAAAGCAAAGGAGGCACTGGCAAGTGAATGCCACAGTGTTTTCTAATCCATGTGGATCAAAACCACGTAAGTTTCGATTCTGTAAAGAATCTTCCTTAGCATGCTGGAGTAATCACATGGATTAATAAAACACAGGCGCCTTCACTCCCTGGTGCCTCCTAGCTTTTGTGCTTGCCTCCCTTTCCTCCCCCCTTTCTAAATTCTGTGGAACTCGGAGGGAACAAAAGGAGTGGCATTTTCTCTGAGTACCACAGCCGTTGTTCCATTGGTCCAACCCTCTGGAAGGTAGGCTCCCTGAATTTCTCTTCTTTCTGCCTGTATGGGAGGCTCTGTGCCTTGGGGGAAAACTCAGGGTGTCTTCTGGACCCTATATTCTGCAGAGTTTGCTAAGAGTGAAGAGTAGCACATTACAGTTTTTTTTTACATGTAAATAAGAGCAAGAACTAAACTAAAAGCAATTCGTCCATGTTGAAAGATATTAGATAAGGGCCTTGGTTAGATACACATATGTTGATCTTAACTCTTGTGTTCACACGTGCTACCATTTTCTTGGTTCACCTTTAGCCCTGTCACTTAACTATGCAGCATATGCCAGTTGTATCTCTTTGGACATGTATGGGATAGCTGATCTATTTATTCACTTTTTGTTCAAAATGATATTTGCTGAGTACCTACTCTGTGCAAACCAGTAACGAACAAGGCATAGTCCTTTCCATTACAGCTGCGTTTCTAGGGGAGGAAGC